CTCTTCAGGGTCTCCCAGGTCGTCTGGAGACGATGCAGTGTCAGCTCTTCAGGATCTTCAGGGTCGTCTGGAGACTGTGCGGTGTTTCAGCTCTTCAGGCTCTTCAGTTGTCGTCTTCCTGGTCGTCGTCGTCGTCTCGGTCGTCTGTGTCGTCTGGCTACTGTGGGCCAGGCATCGTGGTTATATACACTCTGGTGGGTTGTAAACGGTGGGCCGTGATTGGTTGTAAATGGTGGACCATGATTGGTTGTAAACGGTGGACTATGATTGGTTGTAAATGGTGGACCATGATTGGTTGTAAACGGTGGACTGTGATTGGTTGTAAATGGTGGGCTGTGATTGGTTGCTTTTGGACCAATCATGAGGTGCCGGATATGCAAATTTGAGGGATTCTATTGGCCAATCAGAGCAAGGTTTCGAAGGTCAGGTTTTTGGAAGGGAACCAATCATGGCAACTGTTTGCTCTCTGCGAAACCTCGGCAGACTCACTGGTGTGCAGCCTCCCACACACGTACATACAGCATGTAGATATACATACATATACAGTGTGTGTGTGCATGTGCACATACATATATGCCTACATACAGTATGTGTACATGTATACTTATATACACATGCATACACACATACACTGTGTGTGCATACATGAACTGTATGTATATATGTGCACTGTATGTCTACATGCAAACATATGCACACATATATGCGCATAGTATGTATACACACAGAGAACATTTACTGTACTTTATTTCTGACAACAGGTGAAATCTCACGCAATACCACAACACAGAGATGGAGCACATCAGTAGCTAACTCCATGGGTTTGCTGGGTGGACTATGTACAGTGTGTGACAAAGCCCCTGGAACACACTTCCTGCCCGTGGGAGCTGCAGCCTCACAAGGGCGGTAAGACACACCGGAAGCGCTGGGTATGTGCAGCTGCATCGCGAGCGCTGTGCGAGTCGTAGCCGACGTGCTGCAGGGCTAACATAGCCAGCACGGTGAGAACAGCCGTGGCGCGTGGGCCTTAAGGGTGGGTGGTGTTTCCACAGGAGAGGGGGCATTCTCACGGGACGAGGCCACGACACATACAGTGGGTGTGGGCAGGTGTGCTCGGGCTGGTGGCGTGGTGAAGGCGTACCTTTAAAGCACATCGGAATGCTGGCAAATGTACTTAGAGGTTTTCATTCCTAACACTCCTAGCACTGGGAGTGAGCTGATCCACCCCCGACTTTAAGAGCACCAATAGCTGACGACCGTGCCGAGAAACCTGCACGGGCACAGATGGCACACTGCAGCCGCGAGGATTTCCAGTGAGAGCCCACTGTCCGGCTGAGTGGGCGGGTACACAGCCCTCACGGTGCGCCTGACCAGACGGTGCAGGCCCCACATCCCACGCAGCCTGCACCGAGCACGGGCAGAGGTGGGCGGTGGAGATGTGATCGTGGAAGGCTGGGGCGAGCTGAAGACCGAAAGGGGGTGTGCCTGGTGGAGACTGGGGCGGGGGGTGAGGACGAGAGGGGGACATCTGTGAGATGGAAAAAAGTGAAAAGAAAAGAACACATTCGCCATGAAACCGACTGAACTCTGTAGTGTAGCAGGTGGTCTCACAGACAGTTTAATTACGTATGTTCGTTAGGGCTGAAGTTAGCACAGGGACATTTCTACGCATCCCAGTAACTGCAAGCTAATAGTTGATTTTTTTAAAAAAGCAGCAGCAGCAGCTCTGCCGAGGGGCCGTTTGGCAGAGTGCGTGATCCGAGGGGCAGGGCTATGGGCAGGAGCTCGGCGAGGGCTGACAGCAGGCGCAGGCAGCTGGAGCCGCAGGCCCCGCCGGGGGTCGGGTGCGTG